GAATATCTCGAGTAACGGATACGAAAGCCTCGTTAATTTTTTCAGCAAGTTGCTTTCCAGAGACGACTTGCTCTCCTAGGACAATACTTGAAAAAGATTTCTTCTTAGGGTAGCCAGCTATTTGTTTTACGGTGTCCCACCATTTCCTAGGATCAGGGTTACGTTTCATTTTTCTGAAAAAATGCCTTCTGTCTGCTTTTAATAAGTTCCTTGCATGTATGAAGGTGTTATCCAAGGCTTATCTCGGTCGTGCATTTTAACTACTTTACATGGAAGGAAGTGGTCTAAGCCGGTATGAATAACATCCTGAATCTAGTATTACGTACAAGAAGTTAATATAACCGGAAGTGTGACAACAATAAGCCACTTTGACTCCTCCATACTGACTAGTATTCAAGTGATCGATTTCATGTATTGATGATCGATTTCATGTATGCGCGCAATACATTGTATGTTTGAATTTCGCTGAAAAAGCGTTAGAATGCGTACTGTCGATAGTAAATCAGCGCTCAAAACATTGCCAGTTGAAAAGGTGTAACTCACATAACCCCGAGCCCACGACGCGGAGGGCCGTTCTGGGCGTAAGCCCGGGGCGAGAATACTAATTCCGCCCGGCTATTTACACCCGAGGAAACGAAAGCATTAGCGAAGTCTAAAGTTCATCAATGATCGTGAGCGTTGGTCACTCTCCGTTTTGAGTGGGTGGTCATCTCACTGCTCTCAAAATATGGGACTGATTGTTGCATGCTTGTATGAGGTGGGATATTTGCATTATGCTTGCAACTGCGATATCGTGGACCACTAGGGCTAGTTCTTCCGCATACCTTTTAACTCACAATGCAGCGATATCATCCGCAACATTGGCTTTCCTGGGATTTGAATGCTTTAGGACGGTTTTGATTTGGCCAATGGATGGTAGAGGTGGGGGTATCCTTAAGCAGGTGTTCACTGCTTGCAGTCTTGGATGATCTGATTGAATTTCTAGCCAAGGCTCAATAAAACTTTTTTCTAGCTTGTCAGCGACTGCCGTTAAGTCGACATGGTCAGGCGAGGACATAAGTCGTTGATATTTGGTTACTGCCGCTAACTTGTAAATCGATTTATACCATTTGGCGGGATTTAATCTGTGGCAGCACTCAGCCTAATTGGATTTATGATACGTTACTTTCGCTACCATCTTTTAACGACCTGATCGAAATTTGACCTCTAGCTCAGTCGGTAGAGCATCGGATTGGTAAACCGAAGATTGTGGGTTCGAATCACAGCCGGCCAAGTAGAGTTTTCTCTACTTGTCCGGTATGTTCGTCACTCGGAGTAGCTCCAAACATCACCTCAATACCCATGCATCCGAGTTCACTCTCTCCCACAACAGTTGAGCCATGTTTTTGTTTTGAGTAAATTTTTTTAAATATTTTCCATTTTTAGTTCTTGCGAATGAGCTAGGAGACGATTTGTCTCTCAGCACATTTAACTAGCAAAAAATTAACCGTTCTTAATACAGGTTTTTAATGGCGTGTTGAACAGTTGAAGATTATACAACGATCAAGTTTTTTCTTACTTACTAAGAAAGATTGAGTTCCAAAACGCAATTGATCGAAGTTCGAGTTTTTACTACGGTGTATGTGCTCGCAAAAATCCCTGAATTGAATGAACGCAAAGCGAGTGAAAATGGCAGTGTCGTTAAATTGAAATATAAGTATACTAAATTACATTGCGCGATGTTGTAAATGGCAAAACTGAGAATTAAAATTGAAAAAGTTGCTTGCAAGGGGTTGCATGCTCACAACGATAGTTGCTAAACAAATCTGTCAAAGTACATATTTAGTGAAATATTTGCCTGGTTATTTCTTCACTAGATTTCATCTATGTTTAAAAAATTATACCGCACTACAGGAATAAGCTAAAATGCAGGATGCATGGCAGCAACTTAAACCAGGCTAATATTCCTAAAAATATAAAGCATCACTTTTCATTCACCTGTTATAATAGATTAAATGCATGTGATAATGAAGTATTTTTGAGAACCTTTATATCTTGAATGGAGCTAACAATGAACTGATCAATATTGAGTTAATTTGTCGGCGTTCACAAGATTGCACATATATACCGCAAAGTAATAGGAATTTATAATATTATAATATATTAAAAATAATTTTTTTAATAAGGCTTGGAACTTTTTGGCACAGTATTCTCTGCGGTCCAATTATAAGTAGCGCTTGCCGCTTGAGTTATGTATATGCATGCCGACTCATTATCTCCATTATCATTCATATACGGTGTGTATAGAAAAACTGAACCCTTTCAAATTCAAATTAGCTATGACGTATTGTAGTAATTTGACAGCTCTAATTGTTTTGAATTAATGGTTGGAACAAAACTCAAAGAAATAAAAAATACAAAATTTACTAGAAAATACATGCATGCAGAAACACTCGCCTTGCTGACAAAACCATTATATTTTCCGAACATGAAGTATCTAAAGTAGTTGTCATGGTAACACGATAATTTTTTAAGAATATTCTAGCAGCTGGGAAATTTGTTGTCGCTGTGCAGAGAAATTGCTGGCGCACGCGATATTTTACAAAAATTCCAAAATTTGAAAAAAAAACACGAGTGAAGTTTCAACTGATGATTTTGCATTTTACTTGGTGCCCGCGTCTAAAGGAATGAACATATATTTTCATTGTTATTACCTCATGTATATTATACATTCTAAATACTTAATATATCAATGCATGTGTATGCCTCGTTCTCCAAAAAACCACGAATAAACACATATTCTCATTGTTATATATAAGCTCCTATATACATATTAATATTATCAATGTGGCATTGACTAAATTATCAGTGTTATATATTAGCTACCTTATTTGCTTAGGTCTATAGTCCTGATCAGTTTGTTTATGGCTAGTGTGGTTTGCCTCGCATGCATTACATTTAAATATTGAAGCTCACTCAAGCGGGATTTTAACTGGTATATATTCACCGACACCGCACTTGTCTAATTTACTGGTTGTCTGGTTGGCTTTTTCTCATGTGATATCATCCAACAAAATCACTGGGAATCACTGTTTCTAAATTAATAAGTTACGACACTAAGTCTACGAATCACTGTTACGAATTTAAAACACTAAGAATCACTGTTTTAACTTTATAAGTTACGACGCAGTATCTGTCATTTAAAGACGACAGTTTTATTGGCCCTTTTCATACTAGAGACGCATTATGCGTGTCTATGGACTTCGGCAAGCATTTATTATTCGCCTGGTTGAGTGTGTCTTCAATATAAAGACGGATGCAACATGCTAGACGAACTATGTTCAATTTTTCGTCTGAGACCCACACCAGTCATAGCTCGTCTACGGCACGCATAATGGGTCTGGTGCCCGCGTCTTTATAATAACGACACGTAACAAAACTGAGTTTGACTAATGGTCGAGGGTCGAGGGTAATAGGTCGAGGGCGAGGGTAAAATGTCGAGGGTCGAAAAATATGTCGAGGGTCGAAAAAATGTCGAGGGTCAATTTTTTGACTCTATAATTTGTTCGCAAATTTTTAGTAACAGAATCAAATACTTACCATTGCACATACGTATCACACTTAATTAACTTGCTTTAGCCCAACGTCAATGTTTTATCCCTATTATGGAATTTGCCACGGCGCAGAGTAAGTATGCTTCGCTAATGCTATTAAACGCAAAGTTTAGTTTGAACAAACAGATATGTTTTATACGCCGATGTATACTAACGAATAAACCCTATTTTGATCATTGTGAAGTTAATAACTGATCAAATTTCGATCGCTGCAGTCAAAAGGCGCCGCTTCACATGCCATTTGATAAACATAACATAACCCTTTGCGACCTTTGTGCACTCATGATTTCAGCAATCATTACGACCACAAAAGCGATATATAGTACTGTATAGCTATGTTTCCAGCATTATCTAGAAACCCACGACTAAACACTAATGTCGTATAAAATAATTTGTAAAGCCGTGATTTTCTAACTATCAGTATTTTCTGCATCGTGACAAACGTTGACAAACGGCCAATTGTCTTATGTGCATGCCTACGGCAGCAAACATTTTTCGCACAGATTATTTTCCGCTCATGTTGTAAATTCTTGCGCCTATGGCTCCTATCGTCTGCGCGAATTTGATTACTGCGCGAATTTGAATACAAGTATTACTCCATGCATGGCTGGGGAATATAAAACCGGAAAATATTTCAACATTAATTTTTATTAATAGTGATATTTTCCTGGGTTAGTTATGCCTCATCGGCGCAACAAATTCGCAGCAAAATGAAAAATAACACTGACACGTCGAAGTGTCACCCCGGATGTCGGGATTTGCTTTCAGTTCTGGATCAAAACTTGCGAGAAATTGTCATTCGAACCTTATTAGCGATTAAACTTTGGTTAACGCATACACGTGCAGACGAGCTTTCTCTTAAAAACATCTTCATTTGCATTGCCGCATTGCTGTAGGGTATAAAACTTGTGTGAAATGGAAGTACTTCAGAGCAGAATAGAAGAGGTTGGACCAAAGATTTCGTATAATCCTCCCGGCGATGATGGACTATGTTTTTATTCGGCTGCTGGCTTTCAGTTGGGGTTGTCTTCCAGGACTGTGCAGAATATAGTGTTTGAGTACCTGGAGAGTAACCGTTATGATGTAAGTATAGCAATTTTCTTTGATCCTAAGATTTAGTTTGATGATGTGATAAAAATGTGACTGTATTGCCTCGCTGTTAACTCAGGAAGCCCCAGTCGCATATATATTTCAGATGGGTTGTAAAATTATCTGTGACTGTGCGAAAAATGTTTGCTGCCGTAGGCATGCACATAAGACAATTGGCTGTCTGTCAACGTTTGCCACGCGATGCAGAAAATATTGATAAGTTAGAAAATCACGGCTTTACAAATTATTTTATACGACATTAGTGTTTAGTCGTGGGTTTCTAGACAGTGGCGTAACGTTATATCAAGGGCCCCCCGGTTCAAAATTTTCGAAGGCCCCCTAGTAGAAGTGCCAAAGGCACGAGTCAAGCGCCGTATATGCACGAGTTTTCTAGGGGATCCAGGGCATGGTCATCCGGAAATTTTTTGAATTTAGACTCTCTGAAATGCCATTTCCTGGACTTTGGGGAGAGATTTTACAGAATTATGATGGTTATAAAACGACACTGTAACATATCAAAGGCCCTGGCCAATGTTTTTGCCTTATCGCCTAAGCCTGGGGGCCCCCATTTGGGTTGGGGACCCCAGGTTCACCCGGTCTGAGCCCATAGTAGTTACGCCACTGTTTCTAGATCATGCGGGAAACAAAGCTATACAGTACTATATATCGCTTTTGTGGATCGTAATGATTGCTGAAATCATGAGTGCACAAAGGTCGCAAAGGATTATGTTATGTTTATCAAATGGCATGTGAAGCGGCGCCTTTTGACTGCAGCGATCGAAATTTGATCAGTTAACTTCATAATGTTGATAATGATCAAATTAGGGTTTATTGCTGCCGAAGGCAGCACACTATTCTTGACGATGTGTTTTTCGCACCAGTCCGTTTCCGGCTCGCGAGTTATGTGGATTCAACAAGTCATTTTTGGGAATCTTGTACGGATGATCAGATTTATGACGTATTTTGACGTCACAGAAATTTTACTGTAAAAATAACATACTCCAGATCGCGACTTGACTTTCCGAATACCCTGGTTGAACCTCGCGAACACCACCATGGACCATGACAATTTGTAAACATGTTTACATGTACGCATTTGTGTCGCAAATTTTTTGTCTGGACTCTGGCTGTTTGTCGAAATATTTTTCAAGGAAGTGATAAAAGTTTGATCACAAATACTGTAACAATGAGTTTTGGTCGATACGCGTTGAAACTTGAAGCGAATGAATTGACTACAAGTCTTCATAATTATAAACAAGTGTGTAGCTCGTCAAGACTCGATTGTAGCATTCATAGGCTTGATAGAACATCATACTTCAAGGAACTTCAAGGTATAAATAATGACAGTGATAGTTTATTATTAATATTGTTATTATGGGAATATAAATTGAGTAGTATCTTGCCCGCATTGGAACACACAATTGTATACGAATGAAAAATTACAGTAACTCACTTGTACGAAGATATTCCTATATTAGCAACCTAGTGTGGAAATGTTAACCCAGTTACATGTAATAACATGTCGACCGATTTTTGTAAAAGGTATAATGGTCTGTAAGAATATATCTCTGAGATATGTCAGTACAGTATATATCTCTGAGATATGTCAGTATATCTCTGAGATATACTACAGTTCAGGGTATACTATATTTTTTGATAATTAATGCTCACAATTTCTTGTATTATATAGTTCTGCAGTTCTGACTGAGTACAATCTTAATCATTACAAATGAATGGTGTCGCCATGCAGAAGCTGATGTATCACGTATGAAACAAAACTTTCAACAAATAGATTTTGTCTCCCCATCAGGTGTCAGCAGATTGTTCAGTGACAGTGGTTTTGCAACAGGGGTAGCCTTGAAGGTGCAGCTATTAAAATGATAACTGGGACAGAAACTGACTTAAATTCAATCTATATATATGAAATTGCTATTAAACTCTACATGTCCAATGACTCATTCAAGTATTATTATCGTTTATATATAATATGATAAATTTATTTATCGTTTATATATTTTGTCTAATATTCAGTGGCAAGCTTGCCATGGCAACTGGTCATGCCACGCCAATAAACCTGCATCTATTTGACCAATTGATGCAAATTATTAGAAACTTGCATAGCATGACCTGTTGCAATCATGGGAGTACGGGCCTAATCTTGTTTGGGGGGCACAGTATTACTTTGCCCGACCGTCGCTAATAAATATTTCACCCCAAAATTGGGGGGGGGGGGTCACCAAATGCACAAATTTTTCCGGACATACAGTAACATAATTTTTTGGTTTGCATAACATTATTTTGTGAAATTTTTATGTTTTACCCGAATGACGCATGGATTTCTGCCTGACCGTGAAAATTTTGGGGGGTCTGTGCCCCCCGGCCCATACGCTTATGGTTGCAATGGCTAGATTCACCACTGACAGTATTATAATTATACATACAAAAGCAAGAAGTTATAAGCATTGAATATTTAGCTGACCTTGTGCAAGGTGTTTGATATTCAAATTGCACTTTTCCTACCTACTGAACAGGTGTCTTAGGGAATAGATTAGGTCTGTTTACATGATGGAAGATGGGATGTCATGATTTTGATGTATTGAAATAAGTCGGTAGGGCGTAAAAAAAAATACCTGTGGTTCCGGTTCCCGACCGACCCTATTTTTTTTCTACCGACCCTATTATTTTTTCAACGCGATTGACTGTGCGACCCTATTTTCTCCAGGTGGTTGCTGGCTGCTCATACAGTGTGCCAAAATGGCGTCTGTTGTCACACTAATTATTGAACCAAATTGTCTAAATTTGTCCATAGGAAATACGCATCTCTAGTTAATATTGATGTTGGGACCCTACTGCAAATCGCCCAGAAAAAAGCGCCAAAACCATAGATATCTTATATACACTAGATAGCGCATCTCTTTTAGTAAAATTGAAGCCAAAAATATTCCAGCGGTTACCCCCATTTGAATAGATGGCGGCCATGTTGGTCGTTCCCACTTGCTAATAAACGCTTAAAAACAACATTAACTTTCATCATTTGAATAGTTTAAAAACGTATTTGCAATAGGGTTAACTTAATGTTTAAGTTCCCTGTTCAAGAAATAGAAAATATACGAATCTTCTCATTTCATGGGAACGACCTGAGACTGCAATCACGGCTTCAATTTTTGAATTGCAGAATAATTAGATGCACTATCTAGTGTATATAAGATATCTATGGCCAAAACCATGAAAAAAATATTAAAAAAAAAATTTATTTCCGACCTACCAACCCTAATTTTTTCACGATATGAAACCGGAACCACAGGTATTTTTTTTTTATGCCTAGGCTAAACAAAAGTTAAAATGCTGGTTAATTAAGAGAATTCAAATATTGTAGAAAAGATCTTGTAGTTCCAGAAGATTGTTATTACATTTCATTTTACAGTACAGTTAACTAAATCTATCTCCAGAAAATAATGAAGTTCTTTTGCTGAATTGTGCACTGTGACTTGTTTCAATACATCAAAATAACCCCGCCTCACATCTCTTTATGGCAAAGCGGGATCATATATAAAACAGCCCCCTATTCAGCAAATTGCACATGCAGCCTTCGATCCCTTGGGGGTGAGGCAGCACTTTCCTTGCGATAGTAACTTCTAGTAAAATATCCCTAATTCACCCCCAGTCTGCATTTTATCCTCAGTCTGCATTTTATACCCCCAGTCTGCATTTTGTACCCAGTCCGGTCTGCAGTCCGCAGATTATACTGACCAGCTATCATACCCTGGATTCCAATCTCGTTCCCCGAGCCTGCGATCCTCGGGAACGAATCGAAGGCTCTGGGATAATCCATTACCGGAAGCCAAGAATCCTGGCTAAGATTGAACTACGCATCCATTTCAATGGCCAATCAGATTCCTCCCTGAAACGGATTATCCCAGAGCCTCGCGTTCCCTCCCGAGGATTGCAGGCTCGGGGAACGAGATTGCCTGGATTCCAGTAGCCTGCGTGCAGGCCCAAGGGAACTGATATCAGTTCCCTTGGGCCTGCACGCAGGCTAGGATTCCAGAGCCTTCGACAATAAATAATAAATTGAAACATCGCGAAGGCTCTGGTTCAACGGGAAGATTCTTTGATTAAACTGCGCCAATCACAAAACAGAATTAGTGGTTTTAGTATTTAGTACAGATTCTGTACTAACAGCACTAATTCTGTTCTGTGATTGACACGGTTTATAAATCAAAGAATCTTCCTGTTGAACCAGAGCTTTTGCAATGTTTCAATTCATTATTTACTGTCAAAGGCTTTGGAATCCAGGGTTGTGCTATCGTAACAAAAGAGGAACATTTGTTTTTTGAAATGAAATAGAACATATAATTATATCATTTTAATGACTTGCTTCCGATTTTCAGAGAGGTCTTGGAAACATTATTAATTGTTGATACTTTTGAAATATTCAGCAACTTGCCGATGAAATTTTTATAAAATATTGCCATAAAATATATAACATTCTAAGACTAAGGCTATATATATATTGATACTATTGATACTATAGTGCTGTTCCAACGTACAATAATGTGAAAAAAAGAAAAGAAAAAAAGAGATGAAAAAGTTTTTTCCCCCCGTCGATGACACTTGTGACGTCAGGTACATACGGGACTTTGGAGGCGGGTTTTGGCGGGAAAATCTGTAATGTTTGGAGAAGACAAGATGGCGCTGGTTACCTCGTGTTATATCAAACGGCATTTTTGTTCACAAATACCCGCTTATTTTACGTTATAGTGACTGGTTCGTTTTGGAAATTATAACTCAATGGACGGGGAAAATGATTCTGTATTAAAGAGAAAATGATGTGCAGTTATTGTGATGTTATTTGTTGTGAAAGACGGCCCGAAATTTCGCTACTTCGCAGTACTGGTTTATAAAACATTTACAAGCAACAGCAATTGAACTATATGATAAAGAAACCAATGTATACAAGCCAATCAAGTTCTTCAGTTTAAAGGTCTGTTTACTCTTTAATAATTAGTTCATTTAGTTGTACATTAATACGAAGTACTGGAACAGTACGCCTAGTCACAGAATAGGAAGGTATACCCATTGTCCATTGAACTAAAAATAAACAGAAGCAGTCCCCCTCCTGGAAATACTAAAAAAGGCGTATGTCCAGGGCATAGATGATTGATCATACCAGATGTCTCACTGTGTATATACCTCTATGATTTTTGTGTCCGCGATTTTCGCAAGGCTATCACGCCAGATGACGCGTGCGACACTTACTGCCAAAATGGCGCTTACTGCCAAAATGCGTGATTGGTCACGTTTCATGGCGTGGATCAACCTCGTCCCCAGGGTCTTCTTCGTGCATGGCGCGTGAAAAATGAGAAGACCCTGGTAAAGGCTGTGAAAATCTCCACGATTCATGGACATTTTAGTGCATGCGCAAAAGCGAATTTGCCTTGGCGCTGACCAATTCATTGCTGGCGTCCAAATTTTTCATGGCCTTCTTGAGATGAAATATTTCACTTTGGAAATGTATTTTTTTGCTAAAATATACCTCTAGATAAGTAATTTCTCTTCAAAAATTAAGATGTCTAGAGAGAGAAAGTAACAAGAAGCTAGCACGTCTAATTTTTATCTCCCTGGCCGAAGAATTCGCGTTGTTTGTCATGTCTCACGGCTGCTTGCACTGGCAGTCTGACAACACTGTCACTGTGAAGGTAATTGAAAAACTACAATATATTATTGTTATTTATATTATAATTCAACATATAATGGCCCTATGACTGGTGCTAATATGCCTACAAAGTATTTTTTTAAAGCGCTTAGTTTTGAGAAATTATAATTTGATAATGAAAATTTACTAGTGGGCCATAGACTCATATCCATTTTACACTGTGAACGTTGGCACTTGTTTAAGTTATTTTGACTAAAAATTATCGCATGTTAATAAATACTCAAGTATATAATAATACTGTAATTTATAGTTTATTCCCTTGGAGCATGCAAAGTGCCTACATGTGGAATAATTTGCCTTAGATCCACAGCTCTCATACAGATTAGAACTCCCATAAATTCTTTTACACATCCTAGTACATTTTACCATTCTAAAAGTGCATTTCTCCATCCCCTTTCAGACAGCAGAAATTTCATTTGTATTGTGAGTTTATATTGTGCACTGAATGGTGAATCAGTAAAACTAAAAGATTGCCAACCAGTTTAGAGATAGTTTTGTTCAAATGTAACTTATGTAAGTATGTTTCTCTCTCAATTAGAAATAAATCTACTGTTAATAAATTAATTGGATAGATTTAGTGTAACATATAGATTTAGGTTTCCAGTTTGTGAAATGAAATGCAAATCAATTGTATTATATTTTAGATATTCATGCTTCTCAAATTTCAATATGGATAAAACAAGAACTGTCAAGAAGACTGCAACTGTATATGTACAACTTAATGGGGATGGGAATGCTGTTAGTCTTCGCATCTAGGAATGTTGCTAATATGAGATTATTAAGAAAACCGCAAAGTCAACAACTATCCTAGATTCCATAATATTAGGAAGCTGGCTCAACTATACTTAATATTCTGGTAATACTCAAGAAAGTGACATGGCAATTCAACAATGCATATACAACAGAACAAGATATTTCCATACCAAGACAATTCTTACTGAATTAGTATTTAGCTGATATTTCATTTTTTACAGTATTTAAAGTTATATACAGTGCTGTTTTAAGTTAAATACCAAAGTTACTTGGTTCAAAATCTGGTCTTTGTTTTTCCTTCTCTGTACTGTGCAAGGGTAAAGAAAAGAGGTGGTAATATGCATCCTCACATGCGGCTGATAGGAACTCTCACTCATATGGAAAATGAATTGGGTCGTTCCAGAAAAGATCCATACTCCCCGATGGAGGAAATTTCTGCCGTCTGGAGGGGGAGGGGAGAAAAAATTGTTTCTGATAATAGTAAATGTATTAGGACATCTGAAGGGGGTTAACTTCCTATTTCCTCTGTGGGGGTGGTATGGATGTTTTCTGGAATGACCCATTCTCATAAAGTAAGCCTTGGAGCTTTTTTGAAATCGATTTCATTCATGCTTCAACAACCGATCCCCTGCATGTACATCATTGCAAAATGTGCAGCCAGCCTGCAATGTCCAAACCACAGTTGTCCACAACATTTGTTCTCATTGAGCTGTCCATTGATGAGGAAGTGTAGTGTGGAGACAAACAATTTTGATTTGGCTGCATTTATTTAAACACTTGCTTTATTATACCTCCCTCACTGATTCAATAGTTGCTAATGTAAATTTGTACTAGCTCTGCAGGACAGATGTGTTCAATTTTTCCTATATGGTATGGAATAAAGATCATGCTGTTAGTGTTACATGCATGCAAATGGTAATTCACAATGATGTAAAGGCTACTGAAATTCAATTATGGGTTGTCCAGAACTACCAACATTTCCTGAAGTGTACAAACTATATGCTTCAGGTAGGCGGGTTCATAACCAATATTCATCGGTTAAGTCGCTGTGGGAGGGGGTTGAAAAGTGTACTCTCTGTACACCTGTGATAATTATGGATGATTTACAGTGTAACACTAATGCTAGATTTAACTGAAAATAATTTTATAGTTATGTTGAATATATTTTAAATGTTCCATTTGTGGCATCCATTCTTGGTGGTCAGTGGCATCCATTCTTGTGGAAAATTCAAGTAGCTGTGCTCCAGCAGTTGGCTGCAGTGGCACAAATTATTGACATAACCAAAATTTTAATATTGCATAGGATCTTAGATTCGTTTTTATTATTTCCTGGTGTCCTATGAGCCCAGCAAGAACTGCTTATTTTATTATTATAATTTTTAAACATGTAACAATTAAGCTATACAAACAGCAATCGTTCTGTGCCTCTATTTCTGCTATAAAAATGCATATTCATCTGAGACTGATATTAAACTGTCACATGAAGCAGACAAGAGGTTTTCGTACTAGTTAAACAAGTGGTAGTATTTGAGAGGAACTAAACGTCACAAACGCAAATGGTTCTGTGGTTTGTTTGATCATACAGTGTGTGTATATATTCATACCTTCGATAACGATGTGAGCATAAGCTGTCTCAACTTTGAAGTACCAAAATGATGTCTTGTGCCTGATATTAGGCTGAAAGTTGGAAAATATTTGCCAGAAACGAGCTTCGCGCCTTGGCGAAGCATGCATTTTACTACAAACAAATTATTGTTGTGAAAATCCTTGTAAATCATGCAACCAATCGTAGGGCTCATTACAAGAATTATTTAGCGGTAAACCAATCATATTCATTATAACAACATCCTCAAAGCACATTCAAGGTCAAATGTATAAACCAATCACAACGCAGTTTAGAACAGCCTTTACCAGGGTCTTCTCATTTTTCACGCGCCATGCACGAAGAAGACCCTGGGGACGAGGTTGGGCGTGGATTACACTTACTGCCAAAATGGCGGCCAATTCGTGCTCATAAAAAATCGCGGACACAATTTTGGCTGAGTGAGACATCTGGTATGATCTATAATCTATGTCCAGGGGGCGATTGCTTCTGTTTACGGTACTTGCTGAGTGACGAATCATGACGAATAGAGCTTACGCTAAAAACAATGGAGATGGACTTCTGTGTATTATTCTGTGCTTACAGCATTAAAAATACTTACATATAAAATTTGTAATTGTTTTGAAAGTTTTTATCACAGTTTTTATATCTTTATTCACTTTTAACCTGAAGATGGAGTTATACTCCGAAACGTAGTTATTAAAATAATTTTTTACTGAGCCCATAATATGGTCTAATTTATATTCAAACACACATACATATTCATTTACATTTTGCTGGCAGGCAAATTCCCATCACACAATAAATTCTTTAAAAAATAACGTACCAGTGTATTGACTAAAAACTATAAAACTGGTAAACTAAAAAACAATTCAAACAATCACGAAAAATGGCAACGGCAAAGTCACAGTTAATTGCAAGTCAATTTACCTACCTGTGAAATGAAATTTTCTTGCAAGAATATCTCTTTCCTTGTGCATCCAGAACGACAGTACGACATGTAACATATGCTAGTGATTATATGGTTTAATAGGGATTAAGTAATAAGAGACGTTTTATATAGATATCTGATGACAGGTAGAGACTGGGGAAAATGTGATTGTATACAAGACGAATATAACAACAAGAGCTCTTTTGAAATAGTATTGTTTCCTTGTTTGTGTATATTACATTTGGTGCCGTGACCAGGATGGCAACTTCGAGTCGTACGAGCGTAGCGCTTCCCGAGACCTTTTCAGATGGGGATATTGTTTTATGGCTGCGAAAATTCGAGCTTTGTTCGACCGCAAACGACTGGAAAGATACCGACATGTTAAAAAGGTTACCGACACTTTTGTCTGGTAAGGCCTTCGCAGTTTTTGAACGTCTCGCAGCAGAGGCCAAAGAAGATTATAAAACCCTTACGAAAGCTTTAACGGCGGCGTTTGGCGGAGATACAACGGGCAAACATCTTGCAATGATGGCGTTTCGCAGTCGAACGAGAAAGCCAGACGAAGACATACAAGTGTTCGCCTACAATTTAGAGGCACTATTAAGGCGCGCAATGCCAAAAATCGAAAACGGAGACAGAGATGTCCTACTCCAGCAACAATTTATCGAAGGAGTACCCACAGAACTAAAAAGGGAACTATTACAACGACCAAGCATGTCCTATGAAGAAATGGTTGCGGTTGCCCAGCAACTAGATTTAGTGAGTCAAATTTCATCGCACCAAACCGGGAGTCAAGTCAACCTGGCAAGTGCGAGCGACAATTTGCAGACAACAACGAGGGATCAGCCCTTGGTTGCGCAGTTGATGGAAAATGTAGAAACACTTACCAGGAAGGTTAGTGAATTATCTGTATCTGTCGCCAATGTCAACGCCACGTCAGCGCGAAATTCTACTCGGGGAAGACGGGGGCCTTGCTATCAATGTGGCAAGATGGGCCACATCGCCAACGAGTGTAGAAGCACCGGTAACGGAAGTCGACAACCAAATTACCGACAACGCAGCGCCGAAAATTACTGCTTCGTGTGCGGGCAAATCGGACATTTTGCGCGAGAATGCCGATTTAGATACCAGTCCCCTGTCGCTGGTCAACCGCGTCAGGGAAACGACCAAGGACCGACCCATTACTAGGCCGGGGGTCCGTCCAAGAAAATACGGCCTTGCCCATAAACTGTATCCAGCCTACTGCGGTTTTCATCAAGACACGAGTGGGTGCCCATGAGCAAAAATGTTTGGTGGATACAGGTGCAACGGTATCGTTAATAAGTCGAGAACTTATAAGTGGGCCTTTAAAGCCATGTTCGTTGAAGGCAAGAGGGATCGGTGGAGAGGAACTACAAGTCCTAGGAATGAAAGAATTGGAACTCAGTATCGGCACATTGACTATATCCCACCAGTTTATGGTCGTAGGAATGAGGAACACCTGTATTTTAGGTGCTGACTTTTTGAAGTCAGGGCGAATGGTCGTGGATATAGCAAATTCGAAATTAACTTGGCCATCGGGAGAAGTGGCGTTGGTAATCGAGACAACTGCACCAACTGTCAATAAATTAAGCGTACTGTTAGATAATTATTCAGATATTTTTGTAAGCGGACCAAATGACCCTTTAGGCCGAACCACTGTAGCAGAACACTCGATTGACACAGGAGACAGCCGTCCTGTGAAGCAACGGCCTTATAGAATTCCTGTTCATCTCAACACTGTAGTGAACAAGCAAGTGAACGACATGATCGAAAGAGGTGTAATCCGATCTAGTAACAGTCCCTGGTCCTCACCAATCGTATTAGCTCCGAAGAAAGACGGGGATTATAGATTTTGCGTTGACTTTAGGCGAGTGAACTCGGTGACAAAGAAGGACGCTCATCCTATGCCTCGTATAGACGAAATTCTGGACCAGTTAGGCGGTGCGCGTTACTTTAGTACCTTGGACCTTGCTTCCGGGTACTGGCAAGTACCTCTAAGGAAAGAGGATATGGAGAAAACGGCTTTCTCCGTTGGTGCGAACCACTATGAATTTACAGTTATGCCCTTTGGTTTAACTAACGCTCCCGCCACATTTCAGCGCATGATGGGGAATATATTGATGGGTATTAAAGGCTGCCTAGTATTCATGGATGACATTATTATTTTCTCGGATACGTGGGAGGAACATCAACGTATTTTGGACGAAGTATTTCGTCGTATTCGGGCAGCAGGGTTGAAGATCAAGCGAGACAAGTGCCAATTTGCACAAGAATCGGTGAAATTCCTTGGCCACGTTGTATCTGCACGGGGAACAGAACCAGATTCGTCCAAAGTTGAGGCCGTGCGAGAATTTGCGACCCCGACCTCTCTCACCGATGTTCGAGCGTTCGTTGGGATGGCCTCATACTATAGACGGTTTATTAAGAACTTTGCGGACATCGCTGCACCGCTCCACGACCTAACCAAGGGTGGCCAACCAGAATTTTGTTGGACACCTGCGGCCGACAAAGCATTTAATGACCTCAAAAGTCGTCTGTGTTCAGCACCTATCTTGTCCCTACCAGACTTCTCCGTTCCTTTCACCATTTATACGGATGCCAGTGATTTCGGCCTCGGCGCTGTCTTGTCCCAGCGAAGAGGTGAAAACGAGTACGTGATCGCGTATGCCAGCCGGACCCTTACGTCTGCGGAGAAAAATTACTCAACCACGGAGAAAGAGTGTCTAGCCATTGTTTGGACAGTCAATTATTGGCGGCCATATTTACTCGGAAACACCTTTGACATAGTGACAGACCATCAAAGTTTAACGTGGTTGCAAGGATTGAAAGAACCGAAAGGTCGTCTCGCCAGGTGGATCCTTGCCTTACAGGAGTACGATTTCGAAATCAAGCATCGCCCGGGTCGACAACACAGCAACGCAGATACCTTATCGCGTTTCCCTCGAGTGACACCCCCGCAGATACCAGACCAAAGCGTGGATGAGGACTTGATGGTCGGTGTAAACGGTACCGAGGTGTGCACGTCGTGGTCCAAGACAGAAATCTTAAAGGCACAACAGGACGACCCAAGCATTTCCATGATAATGCAGAAGTTAAGCTGCAGCGATGATCTACCAGAGGAAGGAAATGATAATGATAATTCTAAGGAGAATGGTGAAAGGCGACGCTACAGACAGTTGTGGTCACAACTAGAAATGGTAGATGGCGTTCTACACCGTTGTGTAGATAAAGGTACTCCATCGAAGCGACTAGTTTTGGTTGTCCCTCGAAAGATGCGTTGCGACCTTTTAAAACTTTCTCATGATGACCCATGTTCGGGACACATGGGAATAAACCGCTGCTTAGAACGTCTGCAACGACGATATTATTGGCCGGGAATGGCAGCAGAAGTGCAACTATGGATAGCCGAGTGCGAAAAGTGCAACAGACGGAAAACACCCGTCCCATCTCAAAAGGCACCCATGCAGAGCATAGAAATTGGACAACCGATGGAACTGTGGGCTATGGACGTATTAGGTCCACTTCCTATGACTGCACGGGGGAACCAGTACATCTTGGTTATGTCCGATCACTTTACCAAGTGGGTAGAGGCGGTGCCAATGCCCAATCAACGTGCCGAGACGGTAGCTAAAGCCTTCGTTAATGAAGTAGTGACTCGACATGGAGTCCCAAGTAAACTTCTAACCGATCAAGGAAGGAACTTCGAGGCCGATCTCATGAAGCAAGTGTTCAGTCTCCTCGGTGTGCGAAAACTAAGAACTTCGCCGTACCATCCCCAAACGGACGGACAAGTTGAGAGAATGAATCGCACGTTAAAGGGAATTCTGACAGCTTATGTAAATAAGGACCATAATGATTGGGACGATCACTTACCACTGGCCTTGTTTGCATACCGTAACAGTGTGCATTCCTCGTCTGGGGTTTCACCTTTCCAGGCAATTTATGGTCGCGAAGCCACTACACCGCTGGTACTTATGAACACCGAAACTGAAGTTAAGGAACAGTTTATTTCAAATTACTGTGATGAACTGGAGAAGACATTAAAGGACGTACATCGCAGCATCAAAACGAACATTGACGTGGCGCAAAGTAAGCAGAAGAAAGGGTACGACGAACATAATGACGTTGACCGAAGTACAGCGCTAAAGGAAGGGGATCGGGTGTGGCTCAATAACAAAGCGGTACCAAAGGGCTTGAGCCGAAAATTCCATTCACCGTGGACGGGGCCTTACGTAGTGATCAAGAGACTGGGCAAGGTAAACTACCATATCAAGCCGGGGCCTGGGAACGGTAAGACAAGAGTGGTACATCGCAATCGACTTAAGCTAGACATACGCCAGCCTAGAATCGAAGAAACCCTGTCTGTTGATCAACCAGAAAAGCACAACTCGAGAGTCGAATTGCTCCCAGGCGAGCCAGTGATACATCACGGAGAGAGGCTGGCGGACGCACAGCTGTTACCAGCAGAGGAGCTGATCCAATTGCGTAGGTCTAACCGTAATCGCCGACAACCTGATAGATATCAGGATTATAACTTAGATGAACTAGAGATCGAGGACGCTCTCAATTAAAGAGGGGGATATTGTAACATATGCTAGTGATTATATGGTTTAATAGGGATTAAGTAATAAGAGACGTTTTATATAGATATCTGATGACAGGTAGAGACTGGGGGAAATGTGATTGCATACAAGACGAATATAACAACAAGAGCTCTTTTGAAATAGTATTGTTTCCTTGTTTGTGTATATTACATTGACAAGGTCTTTAAACATTAAAAAATCCAAATATATATAAAAAAATCAAAAAATCAAAAAATCAAAAAATCAAAAAATCAAAAAATCAAAAAATCAAAAATCAAAAAATCAAAAAATACAAAAACTGTTTTTGTGCTGTCGCGTCTGGGCCACCGTACATTAGTATGACAAATATAAATATGACAAATATCTTTGCGCAACAATATTACCCAGTTTGTCCCGGGCTTTAAGGGATATTTACAGTGGCGGCGCCAGGCTTCCAAATTTGGGGGGGCATTTGAGGGGCAAACTCAAATGTTGGGGGGGCAAGATAGAATTTTTAAAAAGGTCGCCCCCCCAGGAAATTCCCCCCCTCAAAACGTGGCGATATTCCTAGGAATATCGCCCCCGGGGGGCGAATATCCTAGGAATATCGCCTCCCAAGGGGGTGGGGCGAATACCCTAAGAATATCGCCCCTCTTTAGGACATTCGCCCCCCCATATATGCGATGTGGTTTATTCAAATAATTTCGTGATCTTATTATTGCCTTACACGTTTGAGAATTTAACTCTGCAAAACTAAAGCTTTTTTGTCTTTTTTTTGAAACGTATTATTGAAGTATTGGCAAGTTTTACCATTCAGAGATTTACAAACTAATATTGAAACTGTAAAAAACAGTTTCATGTACATGGGCGTACCGGAAGGAAAAAATTAGGGGGGCGGAAAGAAAATTGCCCGACTTTTCGGATTCTGCCCGACTAGTATCAAAAAAATTTTTCCGGAAAAATTATTTTGGCGACCTCAACCCGTCGCCAAAAAAAATTCGGTCAGTGTACCATTTTAGGGGTCAAAAAATTTTTCCGGACAACCTATTTTTTTCGGAACATAACACACATTTTCGAAAAATCTCAAAATTTGCCAAAAAATTGACTTAATTTACACAAAATTGACTTAGTTTTAGACACAATTGACAGAATTTGTCCCATTTTTTTATTGCAAGCCAAAATTGCCCGACTGTTGATCGAATATTGCCAGACTGCCCAGAAAACTGGGGGGGCTGCCCCCCCCCCGCCCGGTACGCCTATGTTCATGTATACGCGCATTCACTAATGAGTAATGACCAACCTCGTTAGTAATGACAACTTATAAGCCATACATTTTCCGATAACGACAGAACGCTTGTGTAGCCTTTAGTCGCTCTTAGTGACTAATAATTTTTTTTGAGGGGGGGCAAAATGGGGGGGCAAAAAATAATTTTGGGGGGCATTTGCCCCCCCTTGCCCCCCCTGGCGCCGCCACTGGATATTTATATAAGCTCCTAGGAAAACATATTTGATTGAATCTTTAATGTAGGTGGTCTTATACATTGAAAACTTTTTTTCCTAATTTAATACTTTTTCCTCATTTTTTATTCAAATATTATAGAATATGGGTGGCTGACTCAAAATCACTCACTTATACATTTGTTGTTGCCATGGTAACCAAGATAGGACCCCCTATAGGGTAAAATATGGCGTTTGCACCAAAAATGATAGGAGTCAAAGTAAACTACCCATGATCTCCCAAACAGCTTTAATTGATACAAAATAGACCTATCTATGATGTGAACCTAAAAAAATACTTAGCTGGAGGCATAAAGTGTATAAATTTTACGCTTCTTTCTAGATGAATGAAAATATGGGGGTGCGGAGTTCAATAATAAGGGTTACCCTGTGGTGAGTATAACTCACACATGGTATTTTTTAGGTTCACATCACAGATTTAGTAGTAATGAGTAAATGCTGAAAATTTCACCTTGATTGGATAAATAGCAAACTCAGGAGAGTTTTTGCCAGCTCGTGAGTTGACAATTTGAGAAAATTAAGTTTAAAATATTTGTAGATATTTTCTCAACAAACAAACCTAATTAAAAGGCAAGAATAGGCATCTGGAAAGTTTAAAATGAGCAAACTGCATGTTTTCAACTACACTAAAGCTCTTGCTGTCTCCATCACCAAACAGTTCATCACATTGACGTTTACGTGAACTTACTGAGTGCTCAAATATACGCTTTGTGCCTTCCGGCTAAATAGCTGGTGCTGATCCAATATAGTTTCTTTTACACTTTAAGGCATGTTCTGCTTTCATTTCTTCAGTCTCTAAGTCATCTTTGCCTCAAACGTCTTACAGCTGTGATGCACTTTACTGAGAGGCTCCACATCTAAAATTTTAGCAGTTTCCATGGAGATTACCGGAAACACAACCACGTAACGAAGAGAATCCCTTTCTTTGCCAGGTACCGTCACATGATATAGCACTCCATTATCACCACATTATTACTTTTCAAATTGTGGAGTTTGCCAACAGCATGTTTCATGGTTGATTCAGCTACTTCTTTGGTAGCATGCAAGATGGCATTTGTGCGGTAACTATAAGCCCTTGGGGTAATGGGTTCGGCATTTCCATTGTTGAGCAGAATCTTTGCATACCAGATAAGTCACAGCCAATAGACCTCATTCCATAAATCATTCTCCTGTTTACTCCAAAACAATTACCAAGTTTTTTAAAGTATAGAACTCTTCAGAGTGTCCACACAAGCTACAGTTAAGAAAAAGACACGAAGCACAACCCATCCGCTTGGTATCATCTTCAACAAGTTCTCACTGGAACTCCAAATTAACATACCATGGCATGGATTTAACAATATTCCCCAAAATATTAACATCAATAATTCTATAACCAATCGACTGAAAGAGCACTTGCTTTATCAAGTAAACCAGTTGCTCCAGCCGAAGCTGAAATGTCTGACATACATGTGGTTGCGGCTTGGTCTTCTGATCTTGATTCAGACACATATTTTGATCGCTCGTACTTGCGGTGGATGTTTCGCTCGTTTTCAAACTTCTGAGTTTACATTGAACCGATTTCCACTAAATTTACGATTCTTTGAATAACCAGAACGTTGCTTAGGCATTTTCAAAGAAGTAAACCACAATTAGTTACCAAAAAAATCACTGAAACTTTCAAATTCAAGATGGCGTTGTAAGAAAAACTTCCATTTAAAACATCGAGACAAAATAGACATTGTACTTCATTTAAGATATGTTATACTGGCTTCAAATACAAGAGTAATATGGGAGGGGTAAGCAGGTACAAATGTAGACTATTTTGGTCAGCAATAACGAGCCAATAACATCGATTTAACCACAGCATTTGGTTGCTAAGGTGGTTGCTATGGGCCAATTTCAATATTAGGCAACTTTGATTGCAAAATTTACCCCTAAGGAACTCAGCAACCTCGTCCCCAGGGTCTTCCTCGTGGTGGCGCGTGAGCTGAGGAAGACCCTGGTAAAATACGATGAAATCTCCAAGATTCTTGGAGATTTATCGCATGCGCAGTAACGACAACGTTATGTTGCTGACTACAATTAGCGCTGGCGCTTACGATTTTCTTGCTTAAAAATACACATGTTTTGTTGGTTCTTTATGTATTTATTCTCAAAGTTTTAACAAATTTTAAGAAAAATACTTCAGATATAAGCTGTGAACACACATGTACACAAAACTGTGCAACATTCGGCATCATATTGTATCAATTTGTCGGAGTATGGCGCTCATATTTGTGACATTGTTTTGTTCGCTTTGGCAACCCTCAAAGTTGCTGTTCGGCCTCAAATGCGACTGAATGAACACTGATGGTGTTGCCTGGAATATGAAATGATATTGACTGATTGTTCTGTATATCAAGGTAGGTACTGTACATTTATACTGAATTTATTCGATTTATTTTCACACGTTGGCCTCAAGATTATATTTCACATTGACCAACATGAAAATTTTTAAATGGGAATGAGTTGATGGCATTATAGTTTTCTAATGTTCATCAAGGTGAAGAAACTCACTATACCTTTCCCTGGTACAGAGCCATGGTAGTAATCTTAGAATATTTTCATGATGCCTCTATTCAGTAGTTCTTTAACCAGTCTAGTATTATGACTGTATTATTTTAAATAGCCTTGTTTGACTTTTGTATTTTGTTTCTTTAATAATACAATCATTTACAATGGTGAAAATTACAGTTTAATATTTGTATTTCCAATGATAATTACTTGCACATATCCATCACACTTCTCTGTTACTATATTACTACCATGCAAGTAAAATCTCTTGGGAAAAATAAAATGTTGTCCCAGGATGGTCATAAATATCAGCTAATAAAACTAATGAATATACCCATAATCATGTACATATGACTATCATATAATATGTTGTAATTCCTTTGAGTGTTTCAAATCAAATAAATTTTTATTTTCAGTTGTTCATTGTTCAAACTTATTTGAAACCTATATGTAGTTGCTATGATTCAAATTAATATCCAAAAGTGTGCCTTTTACTTCAGTCCTTAATTATAGACTCCACCCTAATACAGACACTTTATTGTGCCACTCCAATGTTCATTCAAAGTGATCCAACTGACATCTGAGCTGGTGATAATATACAGCAAAGTATTGGAACTAGGAGTATATCACATAAGTTGTTCATTCAGTCAAGACATCCATGTTGTGCTGATCATCATATCAAACTCCATCACATATTGTGCCTTAAAAACATATATACAAATTTTAAAAGTTGTTGCAGCACACTGGGCAATTCCATTTAATATAGCCCCCACACCCTATTGAGGGGTCTCTTCATAATACTATTACCTTAAACATTTTGGAACCCCATTGGATGCAATTTTGGAACCCCCATGGATATCTTTCTACCCCTTTAGGATATTGTTCCTGCCCCTTTGGATATCACTAAAACACCTAATTTTTTTGGAAATCTCTTAAGCTACCCTCCAGAAAAATTTAAGGTAAAATCCCCCTCTCTAAAATCCCCATATAGGATATCCAGACCTCAATAGTGGGGCTATTTATAGATGGAATGGCCCATTTGACTTGGTGAGTGGTGACTACCACCAAAGCAAAATGAAAGCATGCTGCCCTGCATTACATACTGTAGAAAACAAATAAATTTTGAAGCATTTATACTGTTACTTGTAACGATAATCAGAATTGATGAGAAAATTCTTTCTGTCTTTCTGTATGGCTGTATGTTAGTGATGTGATCTCACTGTTCATTATAAGGCTGAAATAGTTTGAAACTCGTGTGAAAATAAATTCAGTATAAATGTACAGTACCTACCTTGATATACAGAACAATCAGTCAATATCATTTCATATTCCAGGCAACACCATCAGTGTTCATTCAGTCGCATTTGACTTTGAGGCCGAACAGCATCTGATATATACGAGGGTTGCCAAAGCGAACAAAACAATGTCACAAATATGAGCGCCATACTCCGACAAATTGATACAATATGATGCCGAATGTTGCACAGTTTTGTGTACATGTGTGTTCACAGCTTATATCTGAAGTATTTTTCGTAAAAGTTGTTAAAACTTTGAGAATAAATCCATAAACTATCAACAAAACATGTATATTTTTAAGCAAGAAAATCGTAAGCGCCAGCGCTAATTGTAGTCAGCAACATAACGTTGCCGTTACTGCGCATGCGATAAATCTCCAAGAATCTTGGAGATTTCATCGTATTTTACCAGGGTCTTCCTCAGCTCACGCGCCACCACGAGGAAGACCCTGGGGACGAGGTTGGGAACTCAGATACGACAAAAATATAATGCCAGCATGAAAGTGCATATGATGGAGCCCCCAAATTTATATATTTCAAAAAAGTGAATTTTTTGAAAATACAATGTATAAGACCACCTAATGTAAATTGAATAACTATCAATTATGCAAGATATGTTTGGCGCTTCTTTTAATAAATTGTGCGTTCTATCCATCGCTTAAGTAGTATATGTTCTATAGATTTCAATCTTGGATTTGGACCGACTTTTCCATGGTTCCAACCATCTTTTCCAACCGACGAAATCGGACTGCACCAGTGAAGGACGTTTAACTGTGAAAGAAACATCTCCGAATTGGAGGAAATATAAAATCCATAATTTTATCATAACTATCAGATTAAACATAACTGAAAGAAATGTTTTCATCCTTGAGCCCAGATTTTCATTAGTGCAATATATATATATATATATTGCACTAATATATTATATTGTGACATAAGTTGGTATTTAGCTACTATCTAAAATAACAAGGTACGATTCAACCTGGCTTTTCGTGCACATAGTAGTTGACTTTTTCTTTTATATTTGCTACTGCGCCACGGTGCGTTTAAGCTCCCCCACCAGGGTGCGTTTCAGCTTCTCAGCCATGACCATACATAGGCGTACCGGGCGGGGGGGGCGGGGGGGGGGGCGGTAGCCCCCCCCCAGTTTTTTGGGCAGTCGGGCAATATTCAATCAACAGTCGGGCAATTTTGTTGTGCAATAAAAAAAAATGGGACAAATTGAGTAAATTTTGTCTAAAATTAAGTCAATTTTTTGGCAAATTTTGTGATTTTTGAAAAATTTGTGTTATGCTCCGAAAAATATTGGTTGTCCGGAAAATTTTTTTGACCCCTAAAATGGTACACTGACCGAAATTTTTTTGGCGCCGGGGGGGGGGAGGTCGCCAAAATAATTTTTCCGGAAAAAATGTTTTAGTACTAGTCGGGCAGAATCCCGAAAAGTCGGGCAATTTTCTTCCCGCCCCCCTAATTTTTTCCTTCTGGTACGCCCATGTCAGACCATACATTAACCTTGTACACTGTGGATCCGAATGAGAATATCGAATGAGTAAATAAATACTGATCTAATGCACTGCGCAGATAATACCTACGTGGATTACCATCATTGTTCTTCAAATATGCCATCGAATCCAGTGTCATCGCCATCAAGTTCGAATAATAGGCCACCCGATCATTGTCATCACCTGACAAATTGTTCTCGTCTGTATTCTGGTCGGAGAAATTTGTGCACTCGCAACAGGAACAAAGACCAGTACACTTCAAATCTGCGTTTTGACAGGCACAACGTCTTGTTGAACATCCAACCTCGTACGAGGTTGTTGAACATCCAGACTTACAACCACAGTTAACGTTTCCAGAATTCCATCAGGGGCTGTCGGCATGGTCATCCATCTGATATTTGACTTGCCCTTGGTTTACTTCCCAACCAAACTCGCTGATCTAAGGGGGTGACATAACTGGTTGGAGTGCACCTTTTCATATGCGGCATTGATATGATGCATGATCGATTTGTATGAACTAAAAGAACATCAACAAAAGGTTGTGCCTGCGAAAAAGAATAATTGAAGTGTACTGATCTTTGTTCCTGCCGCCTGGCATATTTGAAAGTTATAAAAGAACAGTCAACAGTGATGATAATGCACGTAGGTATTATCTGCGCAATGCAGTAGATCAGTATTTATTTACTCATTCGATATTCTCATTCGGATTCACATGCAGTACTTGTATTATAAACACGTATATCCCTCTCATGGACAGGGTTAACAGTATGGTCATGGTTGAGAAGCTGAAACGCACCCAGTGGAGAAACTGAGACCCACCCTGGCGCAGTAGCATGCAGATCTATAAGAAAAAGTCAACTTTAAGTTATTCTAAATGTCACACTATATTATATAGTAGAACTTTACCAGACAGAAACCAGGACATCTTATTGTAGAATACATGCAATCTCGTTCAAAGTGAGCGCAGGCCCTTGGCCAAGATCCAATAAGTGGGATTTTATTGCATTGACAAAAATCTGGGCTCAAGGATAAAAACATTTCTTTCAGTTGTAGATAGTTATATAAATATCCCTAGGAGCTTATATAAATATCCCTTAAAGCCCGGGCAGGGACCGCGGAACCGGGGAGGTAATGGGGGCATCTGCCCCCCCCCCCCACTTTTTTAAAAGTGAAAAAGTGCCCTTTTGCCGTTTTGGGGGCTGATGTGCCCCATTTACAGAACGAAACAAATATTTCTTGAATGAACGCCCTCTTTTGCAGGAAAGAAAGTGCCCTTTTTGCAGTAGTAAAGACTCTGTAAAGGCCATTTCCGACGTTATGGAGATTCCATATTTTCAAAAATTTTCGTTCGGCTTGTGAACGACATAAAATCGTTTGATTTTAGTCATATATAAAAGTGACCCTTTTGGCCAATGCGCCTCCACTTATTCGAAATACTTCCGCGGCCTCTGAGCCCGGGACAAACTGGGAAACATTGTTGCGCAAGATATTTGTCATATTTATATTTGTCTTTAATGCATGAGTCAATTCCTGGAGTAACCATCTCCCCCCCCCCCGGGACACTCCCGGGAATTTGCCCGATAGACAGTTCACGGGGGTCGGGAATTTGCCTTTCATATATGTGCACGGGGGCCGGGTATTGGAGGACCCCGGGGATTTGACAAATGGTTGCCCAGAATCCCACCCACAAATTTTAAGGCAGCAAAACATAGTTTCAGGCAAGCATGTGGGCGCGCTGATCGTATTTTGCGCTCTCGTACGCGTGGTCAAGGTGGCGTGAAATTTATTGTAAGAATAAGCGAAAATTATACCTGTGCCATGCAAATTTAAATACAACTATTAAAGGTTAATGTTTTATAATGTTCCATAGCAGTTTAATACTATAATGTTATTAAATGACTATGATTATATGCCATTAAAAGTTTAATTAACGTTTACTGTAAAATCGTCCCCGAGGTGGGGCATTTTCCACTCTCAGCTTGCCCAGGGGCCGTGCATTAGTTTTCAAGTTGTGTCACGGCACCCGGGCATTTACTATCATAACCAATCAAATCAAATTCCCGGGTGTGTTCCCGGGGGGAGGGGGGGGGATGGTTACTCCTGGAATTGACTCATGCATTAAGCGAAATATTTAAAGGGGAAGTCAAGTCCGTTCTGCGCATCGGTTCTGCGCATAACAATAGAGGGCCCTCTGAGGTAAACATTGCCCAAATTTTGAATGTTTCGAATTTTTTTGAACACAAACTCTATTTCATATTCATGTAGAAGCATAACGAACCAAAATGGTGTTAGATATTCAGACAGTACATCATATTTTAAAAAATACAGCAGTTCAAAATGTAAACAAACCGTTTGTTTACATTACGGACTTGACTTCCCCTTTAATTTGTTTTTTGATCGTGTGAATTGAATGTATATATTTATATATTCTCCGTCCTGTTTGATCAGGTGGGTTTTTTACCTCACACAAATTTGTACTGAATTAGGATGTTAATATAAAGTACAATTAAACATTACTGATAACCGTATTTTGAAACAATAGCCAATGAATTGAAGTTATTTAGCAGATGAGCAAGAAAAACGTACAAGAAGGTGTTTTAAACAATATTTAATTTGTGTGTATTATTTATTCGTTAATATTACAAGGTTTGATCTCTATCCGTGATTTTATTTTGTTGTTTTTACGGGGGAAATCGGGGAAAACTTTGGGAAAACCCACAGGGTAGCCCGCGTGCAGGCCCAAGGGAGCAGGCTGAAGGGAACGCGGGCTACCCACAGGGAAAATCCATTTTGCCTGTCTGCGCGTGCGCAGTGGAGTTTGGCTGACATGCGCATGCGTATTGGCTACAAAAACAATGGCGGTTCGAATATTTCGAAGCGGGAAAATATCCAGCTTTACTGTAAAGGAATATTTTTCCCAATTTTGCCCCTGTTTCGCTTGGGGAGCAACGCATTCTGATAAAGTAAGTTTTTATCTATTGATTCATGCGCAAATTACGTGGTAATTTTTGGCCGAATGTGGTAATTTTAAGCAGCCGGATGTGGTAATTGCCTCTGAAAAAACCTGGTCATGAACACTGGATATGGTATAAAGCGCCATGTACAGCTCATTGAAATCTCTGCCGCTCTGCGGAGGAGAGAGGTCTCGTCACACCTCGTCAATTCCACCTGCAGATAAATTGTTTGCCAATTCTAAAGATTCTTGTCTCCTACCGAGTCCTACATTAACATTTAAAATTTACTCGGATGCTGCGACGTGGCAACTCGATTTTATGTGGCGAAGGCATAGTATTTCAATGGTATTATACTGTGAACTATGAATAAGAAATGCGGTGAAAATCATGTTGACGGAGAACAAAATGGAACAGATAAAAAAGTTGCTTTAATCACTGGAATAACCGGGCAGGTATGTCTCGCACTTCTTTGTTTACGCTCGTATTTTAATAAGCAAATACTTTTACCAAGTACTTGGGCGTTTAATATTAACTGCCCAAACGTTTGCGATTGATTGTCGGTTATCGCCAGAGCTAGTTTATCTAACAAAATGAAATGTCTATAGAAACTTCATATCACAAGTTTAATTTGAAGATATCGATGTGTCGTATGTGTGGCATATATGTACCGTGGCTCTGAAGGGCCATGCCATGACATGGTATATTTTTTTAAATTTGTTCCCCCAAAAAAATTGACTGTTCATTTTATACTTATAAATAAGATCTCGTATTGTTCAAATTTAATTTAAACTGAAACTTTTCCTTTAATTGACTTACAACTCGCAATTCTGACTTATAACACGGAATTCTGACTTATAACTCAAAATTCTGACTTATAACACGGAATTCTGACTTATAACTCAGAATTCTGACTTATAACACGGAATTCTGACTTATAACACGGAATTTTGACTTATAACGCAGAATTCTGACTTATACCTCGGAATTCTGACTTATAGTTATAACACGGAATTTTGATTTATAACTCAGAATTCTGACTTATAACTCGGAATTCTGACTTATAACAACGGAATTCTGACTTATAACTCAGAATTCTGACTTATAACACGGAATTCTGACTTAAAAACACGGAATTTTGACATATAACACGGAATTTCGACTTATAACTCGGAATTTTGACTTACACGGAAGTTTGACTTATAACGCAGAATTCTGACTTATAACGCGGAATTCTGACTTATAACTCAGAACTCTGACTTATAACTCAGAATTCTGACTTATAACACGGAATTCTGACTTATAACACAGAATTTTGACTTATAACACGGAATTTTGACTTATAACACGGAATTCTGACTTATAACACGGAATTCTGACTTAAAACACGGAATTCTGACTTAAAACACGGAATTTTGACTTATAACACGGAATTTTGACTTATAACTCGGAATTTTGACTTATAACACGGAAGTTTGACTTATAACGCAGAATTCTGACTTATAACACGGAATACCGACTAGTAGGCCCAACTGGAAATTCTGACAGAGATCATCAAAAATCACATGCATTCCTCCATTCTTTCAAACACAATGGCTTATCGCGACAAGTTGATTCTTTGGATATTGATATGGTTTGTGCTTGCTTTCCCATTATGTACTTGTATGGTTTCCTTTTATCCTCCTGCCTTGATGACAGGCAGTCCAGACCGCGATAGCTTATTAATTGTACGCTACTTTGAGCTTGGATTTTCATACAAAGAAATAATAGCGTTCCTTAGCGCCTTTCATAGCATACGAATATCCTTGCGTCATCTTAAAAGGATATAATCTTCAAAGAGATGTTACAGAAGAAAAAATCACTAAAATATTCGTGAAGTTGTTGATGCAGTAGAAAGAGAACTAGATGGAAGTGGTGGTGAAGTTGGATGCAGGCATATGCATCAGAGATTGCTCACTGAAGCATAAGCTTGTTGCATCAAGAGAGACTGTGCGAAAAACGATAGCTGCCCTAGACCCTGAAGGAGTGAGCCAACGTTCGATGAGAAGATTTAGACGCCGTGTGTACTCTGTAAGAGGTCCAAATGATATGTGGCATATCGACGGATACGACAAGTTAAAACCCTTTGGATTTGCTATACATGGTGCAATAGATGGATACAGCAGGCGAATTCTGT